TTTTATAGCATGTAGTGTTATTATTTTCCGGAGGAGTGCACATGATTTTAGTTTTATCGATGTTCAGCTTAAGGCCCAAAGCCTCGTATGCCCTGGTTCAGCACTTCATGTAGTCGCTATAAGGTTTTTGCAACTAGAGCACAATCATCAGCGTATTGAAGTTCTGTGATGAATTTCATACGTGTTTTTGCCCTAAGTCTTTTCATGTTGAACATACAGTCTCAGGGCACTTTGACAATATCCAGTATCTGAAACGGTTTTACATAGGTTAGTTCTTCATCTCCGATATACGTTGTGCCAAAATTTATGGCACGAATGGTTGTCGTCTCGGGGCACTCAGCAATGAGATGTTCTGGTGTTTCCCCATTTTCCTCACAGAATCTGCATTCGCCGTTGTTACTTAGCTTCAACATATTTATGTGTTAATTTATTCATTGAGTATCCTATTCAAATCATCGTGACAATCAGAAATTGTTCTTACTTAAATCAAGGAACATATTTGATTTTTCTCGGTCGTAAGTCCTGAAAGATTTCTTCGAGTTACTTAGACCGTTGAAGCATTCCATTCTAGGTAAAGGATGGAGTCTACCAGGTTCTTGAGTTTCGTTTTAAGTTGGTTTCCACTTGGGAAGCAAACCAGTTCTGGTCCACTTAGTTTGGAATGTTCGCTGCTTTTCCAGCTAGATCGCTTACTTTTTCATTACCTTTTATTCCTTGGTGGATTGGCACCCAGAGTAGGAGGACTTTATTTTCTTTGCTTAATTTGTTCAGCTTCTTTAGGCATTCACTGACCAACTTCGAATTGATGGTTACGGAGTTGGTCTCCTATCTAAGATAAGTTTTACACATCTTTCGATAGCGTATATTTCTGCTTGATAGATGCCGGGGTAGGTGCATATTGGTTCGGAATATTTAGTTTTCAAAACAATACGGGGAAAGGTAAACATATAGTTGTGATCTTCAGTTCCAGAGAAATGAAACAGCGCGCCAGTAAACCACACAGATGATAACGAGACGATATTAGCGTTATTGCGGCAATACACTGAAAGCATGCTCCTAAAAATAAAAATAAATATGAAGAACATGGGAGAGCCAACATATAAACCTGTGGAGAGTATATTTCCAGGAAGAGATGAATACAAGCTTAAAAATAGAAAAAAAAACTATAAAGATACCACTAAATTAACATTGAAGATATAAATGGTAAACTATAATAAATAGTACCTAAGCTATTATATAATGTGAACATTTTTGACACTAACTGTAACTAGCTAATGAAGAATAATGATTATTGGATCTGGATATAATAATAATAATAATAATAATAATTTGACTTTATTTATGTAGGTGGCGAGGTCTAGCATACGCTACTCAATCTAACCACCTTAAAAAAATACAAAATACACATACAATACTAATACAACAATATAACAATTTTAATATAATATAAATCTAAATTATATAAACGAACAAAAAAAAGACATATAAAACACCCATACATGAGCTTAAGATACAATTCAATAATCTATATATATAAATCTGACTGTCCTGACTGATACTGACTCATCAACGCCCAGACCAAACCCTTGACCCTAGAAAGCTGAAATTTTGCACAGGGGTTCCTTTTATGATGTTTACGTAAGATAAGAAAGGATTTTTTTTAAATTCATCCCCTAAGGGGGTAAAAAGGGGGGTGGAATATTAGAATATTTTTTATTTAAAAAACGGTTAAGTTTCCGAAAAAACGCTTAAACACGTATATTTTATTTTCTTTCTTTACATATTTTAAGATTTTTTAAAAATGTATACAGGGTGTTTCGAAAAATCTGATGATAGATTAATCACGATCCTGCTTAAAGCGCTTGACATAAAAAGCTGATTTTTGGAAAACGGATTGACTTTAGGGTGTAGAGGTTCGATAAGAAGGGATTTTTCGAAACTCGAATTCTAAGGGGGTGAAACAACCCCTTAAATATTAGAATATTTTTTATTTAAAAACCGGTGAGTTTTTCGGAAAAACTCTTAAACACGTATATTTTATTTTGTTCTTTTACATATTTTAAGATTTTTTAAAAATTTATACAGGGTGTTTCATAAAATATGGCCATTGAGTAATCACGATTCTGCTCAAACTGCTTGACGTTTAAAGCTGATTTTTGGCAAACGGATTGACTATGTGGTGTAGAGGTTCGATAAGGAGGGGTTTCTCGAATCTCAAATTCCAAGAGGGTGAAAACGCCCCTCAAATAATCTATACTAATATATAAAATTCTTAAGTGACTCACTGATTAATCACGATCCTGCTCAAACCACTCAAAGTAAGAAGCTCAATTATGGCATACAGGTTGATTCTAGGGTGTAGTGGTTCGATAAGAAGGGATTTTTCGAAATCCCAGTTCCAAGAGGGTGAAACCACCTCTCAAGTATTACCATATTTTTTATTTAAAAAACGATCAAGTTTCCGAAAAAACGCTTGAACACGTATATTTTATTTTGTTTTTTACATATTTTAAGACTTTTTAAAAATGTATACAGTGTTTCAAAAAATCTGGTCATTGATTAATCACGATGCTGCTTAAAGCGCTTGACGTAAAAAGCTAATTTTTGGGAAAACGGATTGACCTTAGGGTGTAGAGGTTCGATAAGAAGGTATTTTTCGAAACTCTAATTCTAAGGGGGTGAAACCACCCCTCAAATATTAGAATATTTTTTATTTAAAATCCGGTGAGTTTTTCGGAAAAATTCTTAAACATGTATATTTTATTTTGTTGTTTTACATATTTTAAGATTTTTTAAAAAAAGAGGGTGTTTCATAAAATATGACTATTGAGTAATCACGATTCTGCTTAAACTGCTTGACGTTTAATGCTGATTTTGGCAAACGGATTGACTGTGGAGTGTAGAGGTTCGATAAGGAAGGGTTTCTCGAATCTCAAATTCCAAGAGGGTGAAAACGCCCCTCAAATATTACAATATTTGTTATTTAAAAAACGGTTAGTCTTTCGGGAAAACGCTTGGACACGTATAATTGATTTTGTTTTTTACATATTTTGAAATTTTTTAAAAAATCATACAGGGTGTTCCAAAAAGTTGGGCAATTGATTAACCACGATTCTGCTCAAGTTTGTATGTTAATGAAAATTCTTGCTTAGCTTTATCATATCACCATTACAAATGATTAATTCGACGCGAACGAAGTCGCGGGTACATGCTAGTACTTTTATAAAGTTAAGTTGAAATCAACAAGAGATTTCCTGAAACCTGCAATGGACGAACAGCTTTTAATGTGCGGAGGAAGTGAATTGTAGCATTTCGAAGCATAATACGAAAACGATTTTTCAAACAAGGCTGTCCGGTGTTTAGGCACCACGTAACTGCTGCGTTTTCTGGTATTAAGGTCGTGGAGGTCAGCTGCCTTGACAAGTATGTCGAACAAATAATGAGGTTCTTGAAATTTTTTTATTTTATAAACTAGTAACACGTATGTATAAAAGCATACTGTTCAAGTCCTAACCAGCCCGATTGTTTATAAAGAGGGGAAACATGATCAAATTTAGGAGTACTGAATGAATACCTTAAGCAAGAGTTGACAAGTTTTGTTAAGCTTTGTTTGTCCTTGTTAAGTAGAGCTGGCCAGTAGACAGTGTTGCAGTAGAAGACCAATGGAAGAATTAGGCTTTTATACAAGGTCAATTTAACATCTCTGTTAAGAAAATCTTTATATAAATATAGTGTCTTTAACTTACAATACAATTTCTGCAAAATATATGATACATGCTTTTCAAATCTCAGTTTAGAATCGAAATAAACCCCAAGATTTTTGTAGTTTTTAGCAGGTGTAATGGTGATATTGTCAAGTACGATATTTAATTTTTGAGAAACATCTGGCGAGTTCTTACCCACAAAAATTAGTTGAGTCTTATTAGGGTTTAAGAAAAGACCATGATGGTGTGAAATTTCGTAAATTATTCTCAGATCTTCATTTATTTTGCTTTCAGAGGCTTTGAAATCTTTACTCAAGGAACAGTAGACTTGAAAATCATCAGCATAATGATGTGAAGATAAATTTTATAAATAGGTTTTAAAATCTGCCGTATAAATAGAGAACAGAAGTGGATCAAGAATACTGCCCTGAGGAACACCACGATCTACAGGCAATAAAGTCGAAGGAGATTCTCTGATAAAAACTCTCTGTTGTCGACCAGCCAAGTAACACGCCATGAGTTTCAGTGAACAATCACTGAAACCAAAATATTGCAATTTCTTCAAAAGTATCCTATGATTTAACGTATCAAAGGCCTTTGAGTAGTCCAGAAGTAGGCAACCAGTATCACCTTTGTCACATATTCTGAAAAGATCATCACTGACTTTCAGTAAAGCAGTTGCCGTACTATGGCGAGACCTAAAGCCGGACTGAGTGAAAGGAAGAATCTTAGAGACATTAACAAAATCCGTTAGTTGTTTATGCATAATTTTTTCTAATACTTTAGATAGGAAAGGTAATATGCTTATTGGTCGATAATCAGATAATCTGACAGGATTAGAGTTCTTTGCTGTGGGAATAATATTAGCAATTTTCCAGGCAGCTGGAAAATGATTTTTTTTAATACAAGTATTAATAATGAAAGTGATGTGACGCAATAAATGAGGAAGTATTAAATCAATCATTCCTTTATCTATCCCGTCACATCCCTTGGCATTAGACTTAATTTCCCTAACTACCCTCAAAATACTTTTCTCATCAACCTCCAAAAAATTAAACAAATTGGAATCATCCAGAAATTTAGAGCTCATATAAGTTTGTAAATAAGTATTAGTGTTATCATCAATGCACAATTTAGGTACAGAATTAATAAAAAACTCATTAAACTCATCGGCAGTACCAGTATCCTCATGATGAGATGGCATACCAGGATGAATATTCAAACGCCGTAGTGTTAGCCAAAACTCCTTCGGATTGGTCTTAAACTGATAAGACAAGTATGCTTTCTTTTCATTTCTTAGATCGAAGTTACCAGATTTCTAAGTTGTTTATAATCCTGCCAGGCAGCTTCAGTTTTATGTTTCTTGAACTTAGTAAGGGCTTTATTCCTTAAACGCATCATAAATTTAATATTAGTTGTAATCCATGGGGCCGGAGGCTTAGTAAAACGTACCTTCTTGTACGGCGCATGTTTATCAAAGAGGTATGTAACGAGTTTAGTAAAATGGTTGACGATATCATCAACCTCATGCAGAACAAAAATTTTATCAAAATCCATGTTGTACATATCATGATCAAATTCTACTAAGTTAAAATTTTTATAATCTCGAAATGTGCTAAATCTAACTCCAGCAGTTTTCCTCTGTACATTCACTTTACAAGTAACTAAACAGTGATCAGATATATCATCCATCAGAAGAGTTTCAGTATCTGTAATCATATCAGAACAAGATGTAACTATAATATCAATAAGTGAACTATTACTATTGGTTATACGCGTAGGAACTTTTACTGTTTGATGGAGACCATATTTCTCAAAGAAGTTCATTAAGACTATTTTACTGTTATTGTTTGTCAAAAGATCCACGTTAAAATCACTGCCAAAAACAAGCATATCATATGAGGGTAAGAAAGTAGAAATTGAATTTTCAAGATCAGTAAGACAACCCAGCAGGTTAACATTGGGTGGTCGATATAAAGTACCAAAACATATATTTTTGCCGTTAATCTTGATGGATATCCATAACTGTTCCAATCCACTTTCTGAGGCAGGCAACTCAAGATTTTGAAACTTGTAACATTTTTTTATATAAAAAGCCGTGCCACCCCCTCTTCCAATTCTATCACTTCTAATTATATTATAATCAGGTATAGTTAAAGAAGAAGATGCAATCTTCTCAGACAGCCATGTTTCAGACAACCCAAAAATATCAAACTGTCCGTCCACTACAAAGTCGCGAAAAGCAACAAAATTAGAACAAAGCGAACGTACATTAAAATGTGAAAAATTCAGCTTATCCATCTTTAAATTACTATTATTCACCATAATTTACAATCAGTTATATGCAACTCTACTTTTCAATCTGGAAATATAATTATTAAGAACTGTGCATGTACTGTCTCTAGTTGTATGATTAATTAACAATGAAGTTTTATACTTTAAATTATGCTCCAAACAATTTGCACACTTTTCTTCACCAGTACATTCCATTTCACTATGATTTTCAGAACATTTACCACACACTTTAGACACTTTACAGTCTTTGGACTTATAGATAACCTCTAACTTAATATATAATTATTCCTGATGAGGCCTCATGTATAATGAGACTGTATCCATCCAGAGCTCTAGAGTTTTCAGTTAAAGATCTTCTATTTTGATTATGCAGTTTAAATTGACTCTTCTAGTTCTTTTATTTGGGTTCCTAGTCATGCTGGTATTGCTGCAAATGAACTAACAGACCTAATTGTGATAATTACGTAGACTCTCATAAATGTTATCATCGATTTAATGAGCATCTGGTAAATTCCTTAATTCAGCTTTTTAGAGAGCTTTTAGATTTTCCTAATAAATTCTGGAACATCAAAATATTTTCTTTGCATTGCAGCAAATCTACAGATCAAAATAAACCATCTTAAATAGTCCTATGATTGGTCACTGTAAATTTTCACATGAATATTTATTACTAGCTTCTCCTCGTCCATTATGTGTATCCTTCTGGAATATGAACATTTAATTTAGTACTAGTCTTTATCTCAATAGCTCCCTAACAATCATTTTTTCAACACAGGAAGATCTAAACTATTTGCATTTTTGAAAGAAACTGGATATTAGGAGGGATATTACCTCAAGATTTCACAGTCATAAAGAAGAATTAACTAAAACACGGAAATATGCTGCTAAATAGCCATCAACTTCTTCTTCTATTCTTGATGATCCTGGTTAGGATATTGGGATAAACTTGATCAAATTATTGTAATGCAATGGGTCCATGATAAATATGCAGCGTTATAATCTAATATGACCTTAGTGAAAATAACGTTTAATTATATTCTGTAGATACGTATATACAGGTGAAGCTAATAAAAGCCTGTTAAAAGAGTAATTTTTATCACGCGCTACAAATAACAAAATGTACGCCACTGCAAATGAAAAATATACCTACCGTGATGGTGCACGAACCGTGCAAGACCCCGTGCAGTCGGCAGCATCTCCAACAGCAGGAGATGAGAGAAGCTCGAAAGGCGGCCGGGGTCGGGGAGGTGGGGCCGAGGAAAGTGCAGCTCGTGGGGCCCAGACACGAGCGGCGGACGTTCAAAGGCTGCAGGAATTCGAATAAATACGGGTGTCGGTCAAGCGGACTGACTGTGCCGGTGCCCGACAGTCTGGCTTAGATAATCACCGCTAGAAACAGAAACCAGATCTGAAATATATACGTTAGATTGCCCCTTTTGCTCTAGAATGTTAGGAGGGGGGTTAATCACCGCGGCTTTAAAGATCTATTATGTGTTCCCCTTTCTTGTAACTCTTTATAACTCATTATACAGTCTCAGGAATTTGACAAAATCCAGTATCTTCGACATCAGCCGTACTAAAGTTTGTGGCACGAACAGTTATCTCGGCGCACTCAGTGATAAGGTGTACTGGTGTTCCCCATTTTCCGTACAGAATCTGCATTCGCCGTTGTTTCTCACCTTCAATCTACTGAGGTGTTCGTTTAGGAGACAGTATCCTGTTAGGAACCCCGTGACAATCTGAAGATTGTTTTTACTTAAATCAAGGAAAATCTTTGATTTTTCTTTGTCGTAAGTTCTGAGGAACTTCTCCGAGTGTCTCCGACCTTTAGAGGATTCTCATTTCAAGTTACGGATAGAGTCTTCCAGGTTCTTCAGTTTCGCTTTAAGTTGGTTTTCGCTGGGAAAGCAGAGCGCTTCTGGTCCAGTTAGCGGAATGTTTGCTCTTTTTCTACCTAGATCGATTGTTTTTTCATTGCCTTCTATCCTTTGGTGAGCGGGCACCCAGAGTAGGAGGACTTTATTGTCCTTGCCTAATTTGTTCAGCTTCTCTAGGCATTCTTTGACCAACTTCGAATTGATGGTTACTGAGTTGGTCGCTTTTAGTACTGCTTGACTATCGGATAAGATGGCTATTTCCTGTTTTCAATAGTCCCTATCTCCCGCCAGTCTTCTGCATTTCATGAGAGCCTTTGTGGCTTTGCTGGTAATGTTCTTAATATGCCTGTTCCAGAGGAGTTTACTGTACAGGGTTATTCCCAGATATTTGATTTCCCTGTGATGGCAGTATTTCCTTTCCATCTAGACGAATTCTTTTGAAAATTTTCAGACTTCGTTTTTTGGTAAATGGCAATACCGCGGTTGTGTCTGAGTTGGTGCTCAGCCCGACAGTCCTGCACCAACTCTCACTGATACGGAGTCATCTTTGGATAATATCACACAGGGTGTCTTCATGTTTTCCCCGAGCCATCATCACTATGTCATCTGCATACCCTATACAGTGTATTCCCCCTAGAGTTTACTTTTTGCTCTAACAAAGCTAGGGATCCTTGTCAAATTGAAGCAGCATTTTCAAATATTTCCTCTTATTTCTTCTTACTGGAAATATTTACATTTCGGTTTTTAAGGTTTGAGCATTAATAGATGTTATTTATTTTACAGCTCGTTAAGCTTGGTCAGCTTATTTTCTTATTGAATGAAATAGATTTTCCTTAATCGACAACAGAGTTTCTGACGATGTCGAAGAAACCGAAGTATTAACGCAATTCAACTTTGATCTTTTTAGAGACTGAGTTAGAATTAACGAATTCATCAATATCAATAGTCGAATTTTTCATTTTTAACTTTGAGATATAAACTCGCCAGCAAAATTAACGCATAATTTGATTTTTTTTTATTTTTTGGAAAAACTAAAACGAATTCAAAAGCAAAATTACTATGTATTTGTTAGACAACTCGTTACCAAAATAATAAATTTCAAATAAATTTATTATTTACACATTATTTATAATAAATTTCAAATAAATTTATTAACTAGCTAAACAAGAAGATACAGTGGTTCCAAGAATAATGTGCAAAACGCAGTACAAAAGCATTACAAAAAAATAATCAGAAGGCACGGTTTAATAACGGGTGTTGCCTCCCCTGGCACGGATTACGGCCTGGCAACATCTGGACATGCTGAAAACCTCATTCCTGATTTCATCTTGCGCGATAGCGTCCCATACTTCCTCTAGTCTTAGCGATAACTCATTTAAATTGTAGGGTGAATTTGGTAGAGCTCGTAGGCGCCTATCCATCATGTCCCAGATAGGTTCGATGGGATTGAGGTATGGGCTATGCGCTGGAAAATCCATCGTCTCTATTTGGACCTCCTCCAAGTAATTGTGGACAACTCTGGCAATATGTGGCCTGGCGTTATCGTGCATAAAGAGAAAATTGTCCCTTATAAAGGGAGCAAAAGGTACCACTTGAGGCTCCAAAATGTCCACAATGTACCTGTGAGCAGTGAGACGGCCTCTCTGAATGATCACCAGTTATGTTCGAGCTTCCATATTAATGCCGCCCCATACCATAACCGACCCACCACCATAAGCATGTTTGGCGGAGCAATGTAGCTGTCACAAACCTTTCTCGCAGAGCCTGAAGTCTCAAAAATCGATCCTGATGGGCATTGGTTATTCGGCTACGGCCTTGGCCTGGTCTTCTCAGGTTATTTCCAGTATCCTGGAATATTCTTATTGCTCGCGAGATCCTTGATTGTCCAACATGAAATCTTTCCGCTATGTGTACCTGATAATGCCTTCTTCAAATAATGCAATAACTGCAGCACACTCTTCGGGGGTGAGATTGCGATTTTGACGTACGTTAGGGTTCATTTTACTGATTTACGGTGTTACTACATACGGGTTACTACATACGGTGTTTAACAGACAACAGCCGCGCACTCAAATAAAATGATCTTAAAATAAACGACTTCTAGCATTTCAGCGAATATACCTGTTTTGGGAATTTACAAAAACTATTGATAAATTCTTATGTCATGAAAAAAATGGATCGCCTCAGCAAGAAATAATAAACAGAAGTAATTTTAGGCCAATATAACTGATCTATAATACAGACAATAAAACTTATAAGACAATATACGATTATGCGTTAATTTTGCTGGCGAGTTTATTATAGTTGTATGAACTTGTATGAGTACCTATATAGTTATAGTTTTTCCCAAGTCAGTTGGAATGGGATGGGAGTTAATTTTATCACTGTTTTTGTTGATGTCATTGTCGGCATCGTTTGAACAAACGAATTAAGTCTTTGTTTTTCCAGTTGTCTTCGGAAATACTACCTATACACTGTTGTATTTGTTATACTTAGCGGATTTGGTTCTATTTACATCCCAGTAATTTTGACAATCGGATTGATTACAATCAGGATTTTGTAGGACGAAGTATTAAAGGAAATCGAGACTAAAATGATTACGATTACGATTTGTTACCCTAGCAATTTTAAAACAAAATCTGTTATAAACTGGTTTTAATTTTCGCAAGTTTCTGCTCATGCAACTTTTATTGTTTGCAACGCTGTTATTAAAAATTATAAAAAAATTTCGGCGCAATTTAACTAAGTATATTTTTTACAGGATTTCTAGAAAACAGTAATAAAAATTATGAATATTTAAATAGTATTATGCAATAAATATTGTAATAAATTTACTGCAATCATAATTAAAGTTCGAAATAAAGGCTTCAAACGTTTTTCAGTATTATCCAGTTGAAGCAGCAGGTACATGTTATATGTAAATACATTTTTATAAAATATACAAATGTTTGTATTAATTTTTTTAATTATAAACTTCAAGAGCAGTATTTTCGAAAATGAACACAAATATTTTAAAGCAGATATATTTACCAAACGGACAAAACTGAGACAAAAACAGAGTCTCGTCGTTTTCAACAAAACAGCAACTGGAATTTCCAAAATGACGAACATTTTGGAGACTTTAGATCG